AACAACATTAACCTTATTTAAATTTCTACAGTGGTATCTCGGGTTAAGAACTTAATTCGTTCTGGAGGTCCGTTCTTAACCTGAAACTGTTCTTAACCTGAGGTACCACTTTAGCTAATGGGGCCTCCTGCTGCCACTGCTGCCGCCGCGCAATTTCTGTTCTCACCTGAAGCAAAGTTCTTAACCTGAGGTACTATTTCTGGGTTAGCGGAGTTTGTAACCTGAAGTGTCTGTAACCTGAAGTGTCTGTAACCCGAGGCACCACTGTAATCCCAATCCAGATGTGCACATGTCTTATATCTCATATATGTAAAGCACATGACTTGCCACAAATAATCCTGGGAACTATAGTTTGTTGAGGGTGTTAGGAATTGTAGCTCTGTGGGAACTACATTTCCCCAGATTCTGTGTTGGAAGGCAGCCACGTGCTTTAAAGGTATGGTATATACACCGCCTCAGAAATAAATGCCACCAGCGATTACATCAAACTAATCAATATCAGGGTTAGAACAAAGCTGTCTTAGTTATATACACAGAGTAGAAAACTATTGACTGCACACACAGCATTCATTTAAATGACATGGCTTCTCCCAAAGAATCATGGGAACTGTAGTTTACCAACAGAGCTACAATGCCAGCACCCTCAACAAATTTCTGCTCCCAGAATTCTTTGGGGCAAGTTGTGTTTAAATGTACAATGTGTATATGAAGCCATTCTGAGTGTGTTTTGGGGTGAGGAGCTGGTTGGCGGGAACAGGAGCTGCCAGCATGGCACCTGCAAACCTCCCCTGACACACATAGGGTCCTCCCTGAAATTAGGCTTGAAAAAAGCATTCTGTTGTAGCCACTATAATAAATTGTGTGGGCTTGGTTGCTGTGTGTGTTGCCCAGGCTGCAAATGTGTCCATGGGCCCAAAAAGGTTGGTGATCTCAGGACCTAGAAACTTCTGTTGAAGGCATATAAACAGTTGAAGCATACGCAGAAGATTACATCTGTTCAGCTCTGACATGAGTATCCGTAACATGTCAAAAATGTGACAGCAGAGGAGTGAGTGCATTGAAGTCATCCTTTCCACAGCACTGGGGCGGAAATCATGTTGTTCCTGTGCCTTGAGGCTTAACCGCTCATTTTTTATGCAGGCTATCCTGTCCACTTTGACTCATCTCCTCACATGTGAACCTAGTGAGGTAAGACTGTCCAAAGTGCCTTTATCTATGTCCCACTGCAATTCCTGCAGTGAACCTCTTGGTATCAGCCTCTTTATGGAAATAGGGAGGACAATGAAGGCCCTGAAAGCCTAGCCAAAAGAAAGGGTGACTATATTTTAGAAAAAGCATCTTTTTATATTCTAGTGTTCAAAAACAGTCAAGTTTTCAATATGCACACTGTTTAAAATCTGGAAATGTTTGCATAACTAAAGTAGAATTTAAAAAACTACAGCTGGTTTACAGATTGGCGTTCTCACATGTTCTGCTCTTCCAAATAGGCTATAGCTTAATAAAACATACACACCAAAATCCACATGACCAACTACAATGGCAGAAAACTGTGTGCTAAGTTCAGAGTTCTCAAGTGCTCTTCATCAGGCTGGATGGTAAACAGAGCAAGAGTAATGTTGGTGGGGAAAGTTGTCTGCTGTTGGAGTCACAGAGTCTGTCCTTAGTCACAGTCTTAAGGTGGGATGTGGGAGGAGATAGCAGGCATTCAAACAAAGATGTGCTAAGTGCTATACAGGTTTTGAGTTGTGCCTAGGACTGCTGGAAAGAAGAAACATGCCATGCCATGGCTGATCCCCCATTTTTAGAAATATAAATATAGTGTAGTAGTTCAGACATAAGGGCAAGTTGTGGTTTTTGGAGTTTTAAGATCTGTGAAATTCAGGTGCTGAAGTGAGCTCTGAGGCATTGATTTTATCTTCTTCTGCAGGTTTTATGCCATGTCAGATTAGATTTTACGGTCTTTTAAGAAAACGATCCAGAAAACTTGGGTGATGGAGTGCCACATAAACACAACAACAACAACAAAGGTGGTAGTAGTAGTAGTAGTAGTAGTAGTAATAATAATTTTTTAATGGTTTGTGCTGATGAAAGCAGGAGGAGGGAGCGCATGACCACAGGGCTCAGGCTCATGATACCAAACTATGGTTTAGAATTACATCTAGAATCTAAATTGAATTCTGATGCTAACTGCAGTAACTTTTTGGAGAAAGAGTGACTTCATAGTCTAGCACAGCAAATGCCATTTTCTTTGTTTTTTTACAACATGAAAAACTGTCAAGACTGGCCTTAAATTGCTGGTGAAGCACAGCTGAACTCCACAGTATCAGCCTTGCCACAAATGGTTTCATTTTGTGCAAAATGTACCAAAAGGGTCATTACTAGAATAGATCTGCTAAAGTGCTTCAAGCAAATTTGTGCAGAACAATTCCTGGACATTTGGCTTGTTAAATGTTTTCAAAAGTTTGTTAAAAACTGACTTTTGGAGATAATATATGTAAAAACAAAGGTGGCGGTGGGGACTCAGAGCTGAAACAGAGCTCACTCCCAGCAACTGAGAAGGTAGGCTACTTCATATTCTCATTAGCCATCTTCATTTAGAACAGTTGTATATACTATAAAAATTACTATATACCCCAGCCCCCCAAAAGACCCTGATTCAAATGTGTAATAAGTCATTGATGAAGCAATATATACATTGGCTTGGATCCTAAGCTTCCACAAGCAGACGGGTTTAATCTACAGTCGTACCTCGGAAGTTGAACGGAATCTGTTCGACTTCCAAAATGTTTGGAAACCAAAGCGCAGCTTCCGATTGGCTGCAGGAAGCTCCTGCAGCCAATTAGAAGCCGCGGAAGCTGTGTTGGACGTTCAGGTTCCAAAGAACGTTCAGAAACCGGAACACTCACTTCTGGGTTTGCTGTGTTCAGGAGCCAAAACGTTCGACTCACAAGGCGTTCGGGATCCAAGGTATGACTGTACTCATGTTTGTGACTGAGATCCAGAGGAGGAGGCCATTTTTGCCAGCCCACCCCCACCAGCTCTTATGCTGCTCCAGAGGATGCCCAATTCATTTGAAGAAGATTTTATGGGAGGGTTACACATTAGGTTGTAAGGGCAAGGGACCATCCATAAGAATCACCTCCCTCCCACCCAGCCCCGATTCCACTGGTGGGAGTGTTACAGGAGCAGAACTCTGCTCAGAATATGTTGCTGTCTGCAGGAGCAAATTTAGGGTTCCAGCCATGGTTATTTGTTCATAGAGTTTGCAGGTCTTGATTTATTTCTGATTGAAGATGTCTGTGCTGGACTACTATATGTCCATGTATAGTTGTACAAAAATGATGTACTAATTATAAGTAGGACATGACATTGAATGCTAGTTGCACCTTTACAAAAACCTTTTCAAAAGGGTTAGGGTGGTGGTTGTTTTTGGATGGTAAAGCAAGGTAAATATACTTCTTTTATGTGTAGAGTGACCTCTGAAATGTCTTCAGTCCTCCCCCTCCTGAATTTTATTAGTTAATCGATAAGACATGATACAGAGTATGGTTGTTATCATCATAATCGCACCCTTGAGAACTTTGAGGCATGAACTATTACCTTTTGATAACACGCATGGGAATGGCTTCATTTAGATTATGAGACAATTTTATAGGAGGGGGAAAATGAGCTCTTCTGTTGAAGAAAGATGAAGCTGGCCATTTAAAATTAGCAGCCATTTCTATTGAGCTGATAGATTAACTTCCCCTTGTAGATTGCTCAAAGTCAAACAGAACCCATCCCCCTGTCTGAACAGCTACAGAGGAAAAGCCATTTATATGTGACATGACTGAAAGTCACTTTTAGCTTCATATGTATGCCTTGAGGATAATTAAATTGCAAATATGAAGAGAATGTAGCAGCAACAAGATGACTAAAATGGAAAGATGTGCACTAGAGCATTTCCTCTGCAATAAGACTGCAGTTTTACATATCACTTGTTATATGAAATATACAGCATACTCACAGCTGCTTATTGCAGTTTACTTCTTATCTTTTTTAATGTGGGAGATGTAAGAGTTTGATCTTTCAATGGAATTTTATAAAAGGTCGAAAAGAAACCCTCACTGAGTCTGGGTCTGGAACGATACTGTTGGATAATAAGTTACAACAATTACTGGTGCTGGAGAGGATCAACAAAATTTTCTACAACTGTGTGCTGGCGCTTACAGGCGGTTTCCTTTTGCAGTTTTGATGAACATTCATGCAGCTCATTTCACAGCCTCAAATGTTGTTGAAAGCAACTACTGAACATCTAACGTGCTCTGCCAGTGCAAACCCTACACTAGGCTGTGAATTCTGCATCCAAGAAAATCTGCAGAAAACAAATTGTAGATATGTCTGACAGAAGGTGACCCCGCCCCCATTTAAGCATTAAATGAGAAAAGGCTGATCGCGTTATATTCCAAATTAGAACTTGAAGCAATGCCTAGCAAACATTTGGATGTTTCATTGCCAATATTCTGAATTACAAGTTATTGTTCCTTTGTGTGAGCACCACATCTGTACAAAGTGTCATACTTCTGAAATTCTTATCTGGCAAATGTATATGCATTTCCAAACAGCTGTGCATATACAACTCATTCTGAAATGCATCCCTATCATTTCTCCACAATTTACTCAAGTCTTACTGAAGCCCTCCATGCCATGAATTTTAATATATATTAGAGCACATGATTTTGGAAGTAGACACTGTGGAGGGTCATGTTAAGCAGAACAGGGGAAAATGTAGATCAAAATCATAAACCTCTTCCCAGAATTACTGGGAATAGTACTGAATAGAAGTGCTGTACACTATCTCTATAGTATTTTTAATGTATATGTTGCTTAGGGTGGATGTTGTTATCTACCCTCTCATACAAAAGCTTCAATTTAAACACTAAACAACTTTAGACCCATTTATTATAATAGTCTTAAGTTGTGTTGTAGCCATGATGTTCAGCAAAAACAAACAAAAACCCTACAGAGTTGCCAAATCTGTTTATATGAAAACTTGAATACATTTATGTAAATAAATACAGTGGGATACATAATATTCCATTAATGAGTACAGGTGAGAGATGAGTCCTGGCATTCATCTAAGGCCGCACTGTTGGATGCATGTCCTTAGAATGTTTGTCCATTTAAAACACCCACATCTGAATAAGAGTCATTGTTCTTTGGGAGGTCTGTTCCTTAATCTTCTTCTCAGCTCATCATTCTCCTCCAAAAGTTCATCTAGCTTCCTTTTCAGTGTTTTTGGACTATCTGTAATATGGTAATGATGCTCTGTCTACAAAAAACAAACAAAAAACAACTCAGTGTAATGTGGAAGAACACAAGCACCCTGCAGGATCAGGCCAAAGGCCCAGCTATTCCAACCCTTCTGTTCACACAGTGGCCAAAGAGATGTCTATGGGGAAGCCCATAAGTAGGACCTAAGTCCCACAGTACTCTCCCCACTTAACGATCTGCAGCAACTGGTATAGAGAGGCATGCACTCTCTGAAAATATATAACCACACACAATCTAATGCCTTCGATCCAGAGATGTCTTGCACAAGAGGAAAAGCATTTTTGCCCTTGTTCAGCAGCCCTGCTAAACTCCACCAATTTCCCTGTCTTGCAGTAGCCTGCCCACCCCATCTCACACAGATACCGTATTTTTCATCCCATAGGACGCTCCGTCCCATAGGACGCACCTACTTTTTGGGGGGGAAATAAAGGGGGGGGGAGATCCCTTTATTTTCCCCCCAAAACCAGGTCAGGGAACAGTGGGATGGCGGCGCTGCGCCTCCCCGCTGTCCCCCGAGCTTGTGGGGCTGGCCGATGTCTGCTCGGCGCGAGGGGCGCTCTGCTTCAGGGCGCCCCACGCGCCCGATGGCAGGCTGCGGACACCTGCGCGAAGCACGGGGCGTCCTCCGAAGGGCGCCCCGTGCTCCGTGCTGCAGGCTGCCTTGCACGCCTGGGGGGAGTTCCCTGGGGCGCGCAAGGCTTGCGGACACCTACGCGAAGCACGGGGCATCCTCCGAAGGGCGCCCCGTGCTCCGCGCTGCACGCTGCCGCCCGCAAGCCTTGCGCGCCCGGGGGGAGTTCCCCGGGGCGCGCAAGGCTTGCGGACACCTACGCGAAGCACGGGGCGTCCTCCGAAGGGCGCCCCGTGCTCCGCGCTGCAGGCTGCCGCCCGCAAGCCTTGCGCGCCCGGGGGGAGTTCCCCGGGGCGCGCAAGGCTTGCGGACACCTACGCGAAGCACGGGGCGTCCTCCAAAGGGCGCCCCGTGCTCCGCGCACCAGGCTGCCGCCCGCAAGGCTTGCGGATAGCTTCCTGGAGCCTAGAGAGCGAGAGGTGTCGGTGCACACCGACGCCTCTCGCTCTCCAGGCTTCAGCGAAAGCCTGCATTCGCCCCATAGGACGCACACACATTTCCCCTTCATTTTTGGAGGGGAAAAAGTGCGTCTTATAGGGCGAAAAATACGGTACTTAAAAGTGATCTAATCCAGGAGTAGATTTTCTGATTGACAGAAGGATCTGTAGTGGGGAGGAGGCAGTGGTGGCAGCGAAAAAACAAAAAAAGAACCCTTGTGCAAGAAGAGATCTACTTGATCTTTTCTACATCCAACTTAAAATGTTTCTGTGCATCATAATTCATTGAGATGCTTGCTTGTAGAAATCATGAAGTATCATGGAAAGTGTTTTTAACCTTGTTGAACACCTCACCTGCATACCAAATTTTCCAGTCACAAATGAATTCAAGAACCATCTTTCTTGTATGTCACACACTATTAGATAGCAGTGGTGACTTTTCTGTAGTGAACCTGAATTTATAGAATTTCCTCCCCAGGCAATCTGACTGTCTATTTCACTTGTCTTCTTCCAGAGACAGATAAACCTCTTTTTTTTTGCTCCAATATGCTTTGGGGTGATAAAGATCACAATCCTATGCATTTTTATCCAGAGGTTACTTAGTTTCCATGTGAAATTAACTCTTCCTGCCTGCCCCGCATTATTATTGCCTCCCGTTCTCTTTCCCTCTTTTTGACCTATCCACTTTTGATATCAAGAACAACGTGTATTGTTGTGAATGTAGACTACTTAGACAATTGCTTGTCATATTCATCAAGATAATTTTAGACCTGTTCTGCTGAAGTTATGAAAAGCAGGCATCTGTTCCCTGGGAACAGGAGTAAGAATGTAATGAATAGCTTCTATTCAAAACATTGGCTATATGCTAGCAGCTGAAGAGTATTAATTTTTTTTAATGGTTAAGGGAAAGACAACAGATCCGTCTCTCTCTCGGCAAGCACACAGTAAATTCAGCTAGTGCTGTGAGATTATTTTATTTTAATTTTTATATTTATTTTTGTATCCTGCCTTTTTCCTAGTCCAGGACTCAAGATGGATTACACAGATAAAATAGAAAATGCTAAAAACCTAGGGGGGGAAATAATTAAACTGCAATTAAACACTAATGCAATTACAATAATATAAAAATATCCATTAAAAACATCACCAACAGTAAAAACATCACAGCACCAACCCTTTCTTCAAAAGCAGTCAATAAATTCGAGGCTCTGCTTCTACATACCCAAGCACAACATTTAAATATAATTTTGAACTTTAACATACATGTTCAATTTAAAGTCCTATTACTGTGCGGAATGCCCTGATATCTCATGCTTCCTTAAAGATTTAATCTGAATCATAATTTCAGGATTGGGCCAAAACCTACCTTGAAGCAACTGTTTCTGCACTCAACATTTACAATCATTAGATTCTGAAGAGGACTGTTGACAAAGTTACTGCTTTTATACTTACTGTGAGGGTATACTTTGCACTATATACCTCAGTGGGGCTTATCTTTGAAGAAAAGCTATTCAGATCCACTTTATGCTCTTTGTGCTCAAGTGATTTTTGTGAATCACTAGCTGGTGTCTACAGAAAGAACCAAAAGTGGTTAAATCATTGTTAGAAAAGTAACTTTTTGTGCTTTGCTAGGTTTTAAAGATAGATTTTCATTTCCTTGCTTTTCTTCTTCTTTTTCTCTTGAGCAAGAAGAAATCAGAAATCTTACATACGGATAAAGATGAAAATATCATGTTCATGCTATCATATATGCACCTGTTCAGGAAAAAAAGAAATGTATAGTGCATTAATTTTCTTTTCAACACAAACAAATGCATAGAAGCTCGAATATTATTATGCTTCTAGGCATGGGTCTGGCTCCAAAGAGTGCATCCTTATTCCTCAAATGCCACAAGAAAGATGGTTGTATCTGTTTTGGGGTTGGATGTGACAAACAGTACTTGGATGTCCTTTACATAACTGTTACAAATAATCTGTAGAATTTGGCTTACTACATTTTCAGTCCAATCCTATCTGAAATATTCCGCTGTACACAACCATTGGCTCACTATAATTTCCACACGTGCAGAGATTGGTTCCAGGAGCTGCCCAAGACATTTTGCTACCTGAGGTGAAGGATAAGATGGTGCATTCACCATTCTGTGCACAAAATCTCACTAGACTTGTAGTTGAATTTTACTTCAGCTCTGGTGATGGAGCAGAGTCCTCCAATGCACCCTATGGCAGAAAGCTAGCCTATTAGGAACTGCAGGGCAAACACAAATACTCTAGCTACTTTCTGCCTCTCTGAATTTGCCACCTGAGGCAGCTCCCTCACTCTGAATCACTCTGCCTAATGGAAGGGCCAGCCCTGATTGGTGCAAATCAACATGCACTGAAATCAATGGGAATTTTGCAGCAATCTAACTTCGAGGGCTATTTACCTTAGCAATTTTTCCTTCAGTATGCTGAATATACACTAATTACAACAATAAGCCAGCTAAAAGTAAATTACAATTTACACAGCAGTTTAACAATCCACTAAAATAAAGGTAGGTAACTAATCTCCACAAAACAGATAATTCATTTTGCCTTTCTGCTTACAGTTTGCATGATCTGCTGACTGCACATCTCATTTTTGCTGCCATTTGCCTTGACAAGAGTGAGGTCAAGTGCTCCAGCCCACTTGGAGTTCTTTCTTCGTCTTTTTGGAGCGTGTATTTTCTAGGAAACAAAGAACAGCTCCTAGGAAGTCATTGAAAATGTGGCAACAATTACATTCTGAAGTTCTGCTGTTTGAATGGTATACTCATTTAAACATTTTCTATCCCACCTTTAGAGAACAAGACCCCAGAAAGCAGCAGGCAGCAATTAAAAGCACACACAGAGACAAAATAAAATCACAATAATGAAATATAATTAGCTAAAAATGGAAGTGAATAGCAGCACAACCCATAGCAGCAGCAGCAGCAGAAAAAAGCCCCCTAAATTAAGACCAGACACTAAGCCAAACAGGAATGTCTTTACTAGTCACCTGAAGGCAACAAGAGATGAAGCTTGAATGAATGGTCCACCAAAACTGAGGACCAGTAACAAAGAAACAGTATAATAAAATTAGAATATCACACAAATCTCATACCTTAGAAGTGTCAGGAAAGGAAAATATAGAAGGACAACTTTCTTCCTTGAGGAACTTCTTTCCATTAATTTCTCTGAAGCACTCTGGGCTAAAATGCTGAGAACAAATCATG